ATTTTAAAAAGATTTTTATTTATTTATTTGAGAGAGAGTGAGAGAGAGCACAGAGGGAGAGGGAGAAGCAGGCTCCCCGCTGAGCAGAGAGCTCGATGCGGGGCTCCATCCCGGAACTCTGGGATCATGACCTGAGCCAAAGGTAGACGCTTAACCAACTGAGCCACCCAGGCACCCCTAGAATTAAACTTTTTAAAGTGAACAGTTCAGGGGCATCAGGTACGTTCGCAACATTGTGCAATCAACACCTGTTTCCAGTCGGCTTCCTGATGTCCCCGTTGAATGCGCTTGAGAGGAGAGTTGTTGCTCACATCTGAGCTTCCTGACTCTAACTTAAATATTTTAACTGCTCAGTTAATTGTTTTGAGTGTGTTGTCTTTGGCCTTTTAACTTTTTTCACTTAATGCTGTAAGGTGTTACAACGTTATTTTTGTAAGACGCTACAGAAAATTCATCTACCAAACACAGGCAGAAGTGAAATGAATAATTCTGGTAAACAAAAATATTAGAGAGCTTTAGAGCTCCACTGGTGAAATTTATAACGGAGATCACAAGAGGCTCCAAATGAAAAGCCCACAAGGTAGGTTAAAAGCCAAAATAGGCCTCATAGAGGGACTTAAGCACTGGGGGCATACTTTACCATCACAAAGGGGTAGCGTGGCTTAAATGGAAGTTTTCGATTGTGATGATTATGATTTCCAAAGTCACTTATACCAGAGTGCTTTCACTGTGGGCTAATGATGCATGTAAATAGGACCAGAAGAAGGGCACTTAAAAACAATAAACCAGCCCTTTGGGGCGCCTGGGTGGCTCAGTCGTTAAGCGTCTGCCTTTGGCTCAGGTCATGATCCCGGGATCCTGGGATCGAGCCCCGCGTCGGGCTCCCTGCTCCGCGGGAAGCCTGCTTCTCCCTCTCCCACTCCCCCTGCTTGTGTTTCTTCTCTCGCTGTGTCTCTCTCTGTCAAATAAGTAAAATCTTTAAAAAAATAAAAATAAACCAGCCCTTTTGTTGTTACTACATGAGGTTTTCCTCTTTTGGAGACACACCTTGACCTTGGAATCCACTGAAGGCTTAATGGTAGTAGCGTGGCTGCTCAGGATAGTCAGCAACCGTGGGACGTGAACACATAGAAAGTTATTATAAATCATTCATTCAAGAAATGTATCTTGAGCCCTCAGCAGGAGCCACAAATGGTATCAGGTGCTGGGGGAAACGAAGAGGAGCAAAATTTGCCCTTGTAGGGGTCCGGGGCAGGGTGCCCCAAGACGGGCCACTTTGGCATAAAGATGAGTTAAAAGTCATCAAAACCTAGCAGATGCAGGAAAAGCTCTCTGCCTCCCCTTCAACAGCCTAATTTTACATTGGAAAGGAAAGCCTGTACGAGGAAGAAAGCTATTAACAGAGACTCCCTTTTATCTAAGAACCTTGTCTGCATAACAGGGCAACCTTGTTTTTCAAAACATCTCCTTTCACCTTCCTGCTAATGAGCTCTCTCCCCTTTGTGTCCTCAGACACCTCCACCTCTCCTTAGCTCCTATAAGCTTCCATGGTGCCTCCTTGTCTTTGGAATTTCCCTATCTGTGTCGATTCCCCTAAGTATGCTATTAAATTTTATTTTCTCCTGTTAATCTGTCTCACGTCAATTCGATTCTTAGTCCTGCTAGAAGGACCTTGAAGAGCAGAGGAAGGTCTTCCTCCCCAGCACCCCCAAAATATGTCTCTTTGGTATAAGAATTCATCTAGGCTGATTTTAAAGAAATAGCAGACATAGGAAAAGCTCTGAAAACTGAGTAGAAGTTACCGTTTGTGTACAGGTCGTTAAACTGCTGTTTGTTTTTCTCCCGTTAATCTGTTTTTTAGGTAAGGGGGTATCTTCTATCCCAGGCTTTGATGGAAATAGAACGTGAACTTGGTGAGCTGCTTTTTGCCATTAGGCTTTAGTCTTTAAGGTTCATGTCCATGAAGATCTCTAAAACACGGTGGTAAATCTATGGATGCCATTCAGTTTTCTCTCTCTGGGATGGGGCTCACTTTCCATTCTGGTAGCTTTCTTGGTACTACTGATATGGGAAACAAAGGCAGAAGAAAAATTATTAAGTTTCCTTACTACCTAGAGCCCACTGACAAGTCCTTGAAATAGGCAGAATGACATTCCTCTAGGGACTCAGCTGCCTCGATGTTAATACTTTGTTAAGGACAAAAGGCAATCCTAGCCCGCCCCCTCCCCCCCCCAGGATCCTATAAGTCTACTTTCATGTATAAAAATTCCTTTGGAAACTTCCTTTATCGCTAAACCCCCCAAGATACATGTTGGCAATCATCCCCCAAGCATATGACCCACCGATATACATCCGAAGGGTCTCGTGACTCAGGTTTTATTAGACAGTAATAAAGGACCTTTTCCCAACAATAGCTAGACCCTCAAGGTCCTGGAAACCTTGCTTCCAAAATTCCTTAAAGACTTATGCTCTCCCTAACCCCCTCCCAACTTGAAAGTATATAATGGGCCACTCCTCATGATCCCAGTGCGGTTCTTTCTGCCCACGGGTCCTGTCCCCGTGCTTTAATAAAACCACCTTTTCGCACCAAGGACGTCTCAAGATTTCTTTCTTGGCCGTCGGCTTCGAACCCTAACATCGTCTTTCCTACATCACTACCTTCTCCTCTGAGAATACTGGTGAAAAGCTGGGGAATGCAGGTGGCACTGTGTGATTACATGGTTCATTTTTAAGCCTCACTGTCAAGTTTTAAACTTCCCATTTTTCCTTGAACAAGAAATTGTTTTGAAAATAGACGTGGGGCGCCTGGGTGGCTCAGTCG